AGTAGCACAGAATGCATGAATGAAGCAGAATGGAAACGGTTGGATGATTGATGCTAATTCTTAATGGTCTTAGTCTGAATTGAACCAAGTTCATGTGATTAGGGAGCTGAATAGTGTTGGGATTTTGTATCAGCCTGATTTCAACAAGGATTGTGAGCACACAGAATAATCCCCACATATTATTACAGCAATAACGTCTCCATCTGCAGAGTGGGGGTTATTGGATACCCATCCTTTGTGGGGTCCGAAACAACCGGATGCATCTGGTTTTCAGGGGAAATGGAAAGGGAGCCTGTGACGCAACCTCCTTTTTTGGACGTTAACAAGGCAACACTCCATCTTAACTCCTCCTCCACATTTACTGGATTGGTTCAACAGTCCAGAAGCGAACCTCCCCCGACATTTTTTTATTTTCTCGTCAAGACCAGAAAGAAATAAACACCGCTCAGGTGTTTCTTTTACGCCTGCTATGTTAGGTTACTGGATACCCAACACCGTTTTGAACAGTAGATAATAAGGGAACACAACTTCATGTGCTTTCCTACTATGCCGAGACCACAAGCACAACATTTCGATGGTCTTTACAACGTCTTTCATTACTGGCCTTCCAATTGTGAAACCCACAAGCAGCAGCAATAATGTTTTACCACTAACCACTTCTCAATGATATGAAACACTTTCGCAGTTTCTTTCCCTCTTTCACTTCTGTCGTTTTTCTCAACATACTCACTAAAACATTGATTTATACAAATGTATTGAATATGTCACAAATAAATATGAGGTAGGCTACAGTGCGGTACACTATAGCCAACTCTCTGTTTATTAATCTCTCTCTACCCTGCCCTTGTCAGATTGTTGGTCTTAATCAGTCCTAATAATACTGCATAAGTATTTCCTGTTTGGACTTCTCACTTCCTGTTTTTATTTTTTATATTGGTGCTTGGAAAAATGTGTGCAGCCAAGCTTAAGTGCAGCTGTAGCCGTAGCTGTACCGAGATGTGGCGTAGTGGGACAAAGTGGGGGGGTTAGGTCTGTGGTGAAAAAATACTATGAAGGGGGAGTACATTACTTATCATGTGGTAAAAACAGTAATCCCTTCTAGTCTGTGACTTGTGGGGAGTTTTTGTTAATTACTGTTCTGACAGGTCAGGATGTCACTATGAGTATCCTGGTTACAGAAGTCATCCATGATAGCCACCATCGGCTGTAAATTCTACTTACAGTAAATGTCACAGACCATAACATCAAGCTATGGTTAAGTGATTGGGAGACTGCGTCAAGGTCAACAAACCTGCAAGTGTGTTTGTGTGTTAAGGTTTGTCTGCATCAGTGGTGTGTCCTGTGCTATGTTAACTAGGTGCTTCTATTGAACACAGTCTTACCCCACCTCTCTCCTGACATGAAATGAAAAGTCAAGGGAGTGTATTTCTATGAATTTCTAATGGTCCGTAAAAAGAGGAAGTTCACAGACAGCTTTTAATAGCATAATCACAGTGACTAAGCCTGAGTGCGTGCGTGTGTGCATGCATGCGTGTGGGAGCTTGTAGGCTACAACTAGTTTTCTTGGCGTAGTTCAAACTGTAAACCACCTAGCTGGAAATGCTTACTAATATCCTCATTTTTCAATGTCATCTGTTAAGCTGATTTTCTGTCCCCCTTAGTCACTTCAGTACATGAATGTCAAACAGTAGGTTGATACGTAAATATAAAACTGGAATGGGATATTAGTTCTTGGTATACATGAAATGTAAGACCTCCATTCATCATAGATAACAATGTACAGTATGTAGGAAGTATAACATTCAATGATGTGGCATGTACACTGGCAGGACTACATGTCCCATGCTTTAAAACTCTAAATATAATCCAGATAATACCCAGTTTTACCTCCTTATATCCTTCTAGGGGTTTGGGGGAGGTAGGGAGTGTGTTTTTCAGTTAGGCCAGTGTAAAGGTCAACATCCACCCTCAAAACACACACACACGTATACACTCCAGGAGACCTGCGTCTGAACCGCACTGCACTTCCTTTCATCTTTCCTCCCTGTCTCCCTAACTCCACTCTGTGTGGGGAAAGGCAAACTACCTTTTGATTCTGCTAATTCAATTTCAAAGAAAAATAAATATATGGAGGGAGCGGGAGAGGAGGAATACGTGGGAGTGGAAGGGATGGAGATGTTAAAGAGAGCCAGAGGATGGGGTTTGTGGGAGAAGGCCGGGGAGGTGGGTGAAGGCAGAGAGGGGTATAGGGGAGGAAAGACATCCGGAGGGGGAGGAAGGGAGGCATGGAGAGAGGGAGCGAAGGGACATGAAAGTCCCAGGTTGAAGACTCATAAAGCTCTCAGAACTCTGATGAAGATGACCATCATCTTCACCCTGCTCCTCATCTAAGGACATCTTACCTCTTCATCTATCTTTATGTAGCTGTACTGTTGTAGTTTATTACTATCTTGGTGGTGAAGGTAATATTAGCTATAAATACTTACCGTATAACTGCTTTTGGGTTCTACATGGAACCCAAAAGGCTACTACCTAGCACCAAAAAGGGTTCTACAAAGGGTTATCCTATGGGAACAGCCAAAGAACCCTTTTAGGTTCTAGATAGCACCTTTTTTCTAAGAGTGTGTAATGCTCTTTGAGCGCTTTAAAATGTCCTTTTATGAATGCAATACATTAGATTCATTCATATATGAACACATTTCTGTAGCTAGAGGGCTTTATTTATTATAGCACAGCACATACACTACACTCTGTAGTGTAGACTGATTATGCAGAGTTATTTTCACAAATTTTACATCACATACCAGTAAAATACCAATTCCCATAGAAACAAAGCTGAGAGTACTACACTGGGGGGAGGGGTAGTGTTATGGTCTAAGTTAGGATAGGTTAGCACCAGTTCTGTTTGTGGCGTCCACCCAGGATCAGTTTGCCATGGGTGTGTGTGAGGACAGCTAGTCGATCAGCGATGATGACCTTAAATTGGCCCTAATAGGCCCGGCTGATTAGTAGTTGGCTCTGTTGATTGGAGAGAGAGAGAGAGAGAGAGAGAGAGAGAGAGACGATAGCTCAGAGAGAGCGAGATAGAGAGTGAGAAGAGCGAGAGAGAGAGACTCTCTCGAGAGAGAGAGACAGTAGAGATAGATATCCGTCTCAGAGCTCTTCTCCGCGACGCTCGCTCTCTCGCGCCGTCGCTGACTGCTGCTCTCTCGCTCTCTCTCGCTCGAGAGAGAATAGAGATAGAGCGAGATTCCTGCAGCCCTCAGCTGCGAGCACATCTGTCTGTGAGGGGTCCAAACAGCCCCCCACGTGTTTGCTCACGGTTCGCCTGATTGCCTTTCCTTCCTCTTTTCTCTCCCACTAAAGACCTGCTGTCCTTCCTCTCACTCTAATCACTGTGCCGCGGCCCAGAGAGGTGCATTCTGGGAGAGGCAGGGGAGAGGGACACGAGGAATAGAAATAAGGGAGGAATCATATGAACTGAAAATGAGTATTTGTGTACAAGGATATGTGAGCGCGTCAAGAAAGACTAGAGTGTGACTGTGTGTGTGTGTGTGACGTGGGCACCCTGTGCTCACCCTGGGTTTGGAGCCTGCTGTCTGGGTCACAGTGGTGCACCCTGGGGCCTGAGCTCCACAAAGAGGGCTTCTATAAACAGCAGCACATCACTCAGGGGAGGAGCCCAACAAAACCATTACCACGCTTTGGGGTTCATAGAGCTGGCTTCATTATATCTGATATCACTTAGAAATAGAGCTGCAATCAAGACCTCTTCACTGACACCGGAATTCACTCTGACACTCAAATAGAACTTAAAGGAAAACTCACCACAAAAACTATATTTTGGTATTTGTTTCGTCAGTCCATTGTTGACAGTCCCAAAATAGTATGCATGTCAGCAATCAAGTTTTCAAGATACTGTATATAACTTTCAAAATACAGAAATACAGTCGGTATGACGCTAAAGGCATAATAGCGGCTGTATTTCTGTATTTTGAAAGTTATTTATCTTAAACTTGATTTATCACTTGCAAAACATTTTGGGACTATGTCGACTAATGAATCAAATACCAAAATATAGTTTCTGGGTGGAATTTTCCTTTAAGGCAATTTTAAATGTGTATGTGAAAGAGAGATGGAGAAAGAGAGAGGCACTGAGAGACAGAGAAATGTTTACATTTCATAAATCAGTTTCAAGGACTCCATCACATCATTTATTATTAAAACTTTATTTCCTTTATTTTGTGAGATGGAAAAATGATAAAAACGTACAGCTCAGGAACAATGTCTCGTCTAACATAAGTCAGTGTTTTTTCTTTACATAATAACAATGAAATTATAATTGTAACTATCCATGTGTTCTGAAGCAAAAAGAGTGAAAATAAATTATCATAACAATAATTATAACAGCAATTATAACAACAATAGTTGTTCTGTTTGCTTGCTTATTTTTTCAATAAAATCTGTTAAAAACAGGAGACCAGGTGGGTGGTGTGTATTCCAGCATGTGAGGGATGAGGGGTCAGTGGTGTTTGTGTGTGTGTGTTTGTGTGTGTGTACATGTGTGGAGAGGCTGGTCCAGAAAGTCTCTCATACCTATGGTATCAACAGTCTGTCCACAGTAGCCAGTCAGTACAAGTGGAGGGGGGGGGGGGGGGTACCAAAGTGACTTAGTAAAAAAAAAAAGGCTAAAGAACCATGAATGTCCCCATTCGCACCCATGAGTCTCTATCTTCCACACACTTGAAGGGAGCAACTTAGCATGCCCACGTTCCTCTTCACCCTCTCACTTTCTCTCTACCTTCAGTCACGTCTCCTCTCCATCAATCTCTCAATGAGGCCAGGCAAAACAATGTCCTACTGACAGTTGATCCCCATTACCATTCCCCTTCTAGAAACAGACGCAGTCCTCTTTATGTGGTCCCACAGTAGTGGTGGTGATGGGGTTGGAGGGGTGGTGGTGGTGGTGGTGAGGCCTGATGCAGGGGCTTCAGGAGGCTTCAGTGCTCAGCCCAGGCTGGCGACCGACCGGAGTGGTGGGGATGGCCGAAGGAGGGGTGATGGATGGGCGTGGGAGTCGACAGCATGTGTCCGGAGTGGCTGAAGGGGGGAAGGTGGCCCATGTGGGTCATGTGTCCAGCCAGGCTGGGGCCACCCCCAAAGGGAGAAGACCTGTCATGCATGCATTTGGACAGCTCATCGTAGCCATCTCCGGACCGTTTGCCCCTCTTGGACTTGCTGGACATCTTGCGGTTGCGTGTCTGGATGCCCTCCTTCTTCATGGTCATTGGCCTGTTGACCTGTGGAGAGCCAGGGAGGTGGGATGTTAGCCAAGGAGAAGCCAGACAAGCCTGGAGTAATATAGGCTACTGTATATGCTTCATATTGATATTTTGTGGGTTTCAATATCATGTCAAATACTTGTTTCTTGTTTTTTTAAACTGTCCAGAACTAAATTATTTAGTCATTGGACATTTTCTTGCACTCTCAATGCTTTTATATTCAACTATGTCAAGCTTAGTTCGGAATTTCGGATCATTTAGAAAAATCTAAACAACTATGATGGAAAACATATTGCCTTCTTAATAAACATGAGAAAAAAATCTGATGTGCCATAAATATTGTGGAACAGATTTAACAGACATTGGATGATCAAGCCACATTAAAAGGCATGAGCATTTTGCCACTTTTGTCTTTAAAATTAAATAGAATCCTCTCATTGAACATGAATACATGAGGACTGGAAGCCACGCTGAACCTGAAAGGGCTATTCTCAGACAAGTTGGCATCAATATAACTGACGCCTTTACCCTGAATGACAATCCCACCCTCCAGCCTCTCCTGGGAGTAACACCCCCCATTGAAACAAAGATGGATTAATAAAAAGAAAAAACGACTGGCTGGTTCTGCTTGACAGAAAAAGCAGCCTTTGCGTCCCAGCCTCTTTCTCCCCGGCTCCTAAATCGATACAAGCTGTCCGCCTACTTGACCAGCTCACCCCCCAGTTTCTATGTAAGCGGGCAGGCTACTTACATTGTGCAGTTTGTAGTAGAGCCCGCAGGCATTGCACACCGGGTCGCCATTGCCGTTGCGCCTCCAAAGGGTGGTGGTGGTGGTCTGACAGTTTGCGCAGCAGGTGCCAGCTCGTCTCGCAGCGGACTGAGGAGGAGAAAAACGCATAATGTTAATATATTATGAATAAAGCCATTTAAATGTTAGCTGATTTGATCATTGTATTAGGCAACAGAGGTCAATGAGGAAAGTGAACATGACATGAATACGATTATTGAAATTGACTACCGTGACCATTTAGGCGTAGCCAAAGGCGGCTACATTTCAAATGTTCATTTGGAATTTATAGGACATTTCTGAGATTAGAATTTAAAACCTCTCGTTTTAAAAGCCTACTGTAATGTCCCACCAGATCTACCCATATCAACTAGTATCACGCAATGAACATCAGAATAAAGCATTTTCTTCTGTAAATATCTTCCCATGTATTTTTTAGGGTGATGAGGATTATGACTTTGTGTTGCTGTGTAGGCTATTCTCCAACCGACCTCCTCTCAGGGCTACATCCACAAATAACATCAAAGCCAGCGCCAGTTAGACTCATGAAATTGCTTAAAGGGAGTCACCTCTGTATTGATTTAATTGAATATATTCTGTGATCTATACAAGCTTAATTCAATGTTTCAATTTGTGCAATGCTGCAAAAGCTGTTTCTAGTTAAATGCGTTGTTTCTATCTTTTACCAATTACTGCTGTCATATTTAATTTAATTAAGAAATGAGATAGGGCACATTAATAATTTATGCCATCTCTTTGCATGATTCTCCCTTGATCCAGAGAATCAAACGACCCGGACTAAGACGTCTACAAGACCAGGGCCCTGTCTGCCAATGCGCTTTGTGTCCATTACAGATAAATGCTTCACACATAATAAGAAACATTTAAGGTCAGAATACAATAACTATACAGCCATGATGCTGTATGTGTGTTTTTCTTTTAATTAATTGAATGTTTTATCATAGTTGTTCATGCAAAACATCCCGAATAAATACAACGATGGCGACGCACAGAATGTAAAAAAAGAGAAAAAGAAAGACGACAACAAAAAACACTTCGCATTCCGACGCATAAAGCTTGTGCCATTGCCAACCGAGCATGACAAACAATCCATTTATTTTCCAATCCCTCTCCACACATAACTGGGTCCTACAGTGCTGTGATAATCGCTTTACAGTATATGTCAAAGTCTGGCCTGAAAAATGCAGCGGTGTTTGTTGAAGGCGGAAACACCCGGGAACCTAGCTTCCTTATCGGGCCTGGGCAGATATCCGGATAGGAAACAACTGGATGCCCTTTGAACTGAACTCTGAATACACTTGAGCTGAAAATGCAAAGATGCGGCCATAGACCGACCCATGGAAAATGTAATGGACTTCTTATCGGAAGAACGAGGCAGAGGCGCACCGCTAAGGAGAAAAATGCAGAAGGTTTATTTACACCAAGCTGCGCTAAAATGAGTTTACTTGTCCCACTAATACTGACAATGTTGCTAATACAGTCAGAGACTGTGTATTTCAGAAAGACAGTTATTCAAAACATATTCAAAACATAATCCCACCCTATTCACCACTCTCTCCATCCCATGACATTTAGCTCAATGGAAGATAGCAATGGCAAAGACAACAACCATTGCAATATGTTGAACATTATGAATTATTCATTTCAAATAGGCAACCACATGGGTTAGGCTACACATGTAAATTAAAACATTAATTTACATTTAATAACACCAGTGAATTGGGCTACAATTAGGTTATCCAACTAATGCGTCTTTGGCACTGCATGACTGGATGAGTATAAGTATAAGTACAGTGAAGGAAAAAAGTATTTGATCCCCTGCTGATTTTGTACGTTTGCCCACTGACAAAGAAATGATCAGTCTATAATTTTAATGGTAGGTTTACTTGAACAGTGAGAGACAGAATAACATCAAAAAAATCCAGAAAAACGAATGTCAAAAATGTTATAAATAGATTTGCATTTTAATGAGGGAAATAAGTATTTGACCCCCTCTCAATCAGAAAGATTTCTGGCTCCCAGGTGTCTTTTATACAGGTAACGAGCTGAGATTAGGAGCACACTCTTAAAGGGAGTGCTCCTAATCTCAGCTTGTTACCTGTATAAAAGACACCTGTCCACAGAAGCAATCAATCAATCAGATTCCAAACTCTCCACCATGGCCAAGACCAAAGAGCTCTCCAAGGATGTCAGGGACAAGATTGTAGACCTACACAAGGTTGGAATGGGCTACAAGACCATCGCCAAGCAGCTTGGTGAGAAGGTGACAACAGTTGGTGCGATTATTCGCAAATAGAAGAAACACAAAATAACTGTCAATCTCCCTCGGCCTGGGGCTCCATGCAAGTTCTCACCTCGTGGAGTTGCAATGATCATGAGAACGGTGAGGAATCAGCCCAGAACTACACGGGAGGATCTTGTCAATGATCTCAAGGCAGCTGGGACCATAGTCACCAAGAAAACAATTGGTAACACATTACGCCGTGAAGGACTGAAATCCTGCAACGTCCGCAAGGTCCCCCTGCTCAAGAAAGCACATACACATGTTTTTCTGCTAAGGGGACAGGACAACTTCACCGCATCAAAGGGACGATGGACGGGGCCATGTACCGTCAAAACGTGGGTGAGAACCTCCTTCCCTCAGCCAGGGCATTGAAAATGGGTCGTGGATGGGTATTCCAGCATGACAATGACCCAAAACACACGGCCAAGGCAACAAAGGAGTGGCTCAAGAAGAAGCACATTAAGGTCCTGGAGTGGCCTAGCCAGTCTCCAGACCTTAATCCCATAGAAAATCTGTGGAGGGAGCTGAAGGTTCGAGTTGACAAACATCAGCCTCGAAACCTTAATGACTTGGAGAAGATCTGCAAAGAGGAGTGGGACAAAATCCCTCCTGAGATGTGTGCAAACCTGGTGGCCAACTACAAGAAACATCTGACCTCTGTGATTGCCAACAAGGGTTTTTCCACCAAGTACTAAGTCATGTTTTGCAGAGGGGTCAAATACTTATTTCCCTTATTAAAATGCAAATCAATTTATAACATTTTTGACATGCGTTTTTCTGGATTTTTCTGTTGTTATTCTGTCTCTCACTGTTCAAATAAACCTACCATTAAAATTATAGACTGATCATTTCTTTGTCAGTGGGCAAACGTACAAAATCAGCAGGGGATCAAATACTTTTTTCCCTCACTGTATATGTGTCTGAGTACCGATTTAATTACATATTAAGGTATAGGCTATTGATTGAAACATTTATATTATGTAGGTAGCATATTATTTAATTCTGTGAAATAAATGGAATGTCTAATCAGAACAAAACTATTCAGATTTAGCCTATAGGCCTACATAAACGAGGTTTGGCGAGTAAAATGCCTACTGATCATGATTCATGAATCTGTTTAGCTGGGGAAAACAGAAGCTAGAAAAAGTAATTATAGAAGCAAAATAAAAATATTTTATTGTAAAAATGAACTAACGAATTTAAAGTTTAGATCAATCGATGGGCTCTATTCAATCTGTATCGCTGAAGCTTTACAGATTGCTCTTAAATGCAGATTTACCATCAATGCAGTCTCTGTTAAGGAAGGGAACACTGCCTTTAAATTTAAATCAAGCTGTATCTTGTAATGCTGAACTTCCATATGGATTGATTAGAGCCCTAAATCTATTGCGTAATGCTTAGCCTACATTTTTTGAGCTACCCAAAAGTTAGGAGTTGGAATGCGCCTTGGACTACCATTAAAATTGGCCTAAATCACTTCTCACAATTTACTTTTGGGAAACTTGAATATCTTTAAAAGTTTGAGATGGTAAAACTGAATATTCCAAAACAGTGATGTAGTGTGGAGGCTACACGCAAATGTTCAAAATGCAATTTGCGGAAAAACACTGTTTTTAAATATGCACAGCACAATAAACATTTAGAAAGAGGGGAAATCTAAAGATGGACCAACTATCATGGGTTGCTAATATGACTACTATAATGCCTTTAGCTGCTAGACAATGAAATAACGTTTTTTGAAAACCGATAGAACAGGAGAGCGCATATGAGGATGTGTTTATTACATATTTCTATCAACATTTCTATGGTTGAATTTTGTCTTGGCTACTTTGAAGCAAGGTAAGACATGGCTCATAGTACGAAGTAAAATGTCCAGGTTTCAAACAATGAAGGAACAGGAAAAATATAGCAATGCTAATAATAGGCCTAACCGTCTTCTGGTAGATGGAAAGGCTTTCCCAAAAACCTTCTCTATTAAATGTTAACTAGCTACAAAGTAGCCTGCCTACCTGGTAGAATGATATCATGATTATTTGTATTGATCAATCTCATGTGGCCTACTATTAGCCTACTTGCTCAGTACAGATTGGGTTGGCTTGACTATGAAAGGCCAATATGGGTTTTATCATTTTAGGTCATTCAGAGTACATATCAATGTTACTCATAAAAGATGTCACACAGGGTGGGCCTTTTGGGATTTTTATTGCAAAATTAGAGTATACCCACTTCTCCAGGCCCCACTACACTACGGAGTAGGGCTATCCTATAGAATCAAAGTTATGATTCCTAATCAGAGGTCTGAATATAAAATGAAAGAAATAAAACAATTTCAAAATAATCAGGAACTAAAATTGTATTTATTTTTAAATAACTTGTAATGATAACTAAACAACTCATCATGGTTAATAATATTGAAAATTAAACACAATAATACTTTGATCCGAGACAAAAAAAATATATATAAAAGTGTATGTGCATTAAAAATAACAGAGCTTGGAATACTCCTTGCTCCTAAATGCCTGTGCAGAACACTGGACAAAGGGTTTGTGTGTGTGCACTGTTTTTCACTCACTCCAGTGTGGTGATAACTAAAGCAGCATGGGCATTGGTATCAGTGACAGTATCAGAAGTACCAGCAATAATAATAGCAGTAACAATGGCAATAGTAGCAGTATTGTAACAGGCGGTGTAGGGGATCACCAGGGGGTGAGAGGGACAAACAATTCCAGGAAGATCATAGGGAAAATATAACTTTCCTGGAATTGTTCTAGCGGTATCTGATTCATGCTCTATTTGGGCCCCCTTTCTCAGATGTGAAAGGGTAGACAGGAGAGAGACGGGGACTCACCAGTCTGCGTTTGGGCTTGATGAGAGGTCTGTTCTGGCCGTTCATCTTGTGGTACAGGCCGCAAGCGTTGCACAGGTAGTGACCCGTCCCGTCCCGCCGCCACAGGGGGGTGGAGGTGGCACCGCAGTTGACGCACTCGCGCCCCTCTGAGCAGAATTCAAGTGGAGGGAAGACAAAGGGAAATTTATATAATTAAAAAGTTCACACTCCATCAAAAGCTAAACGGTAATGGATTCACATTAAAGACAATAGCTGTCAGGTCCAAGGAGGATACATAGGGAATAATGAGCCTATTGGAGCCACTTTTCATTAGTAGTGTAATATGAAGTCAGTCTTAGCCCCCCCCCCCCCCCCCCCCCCCCCCCCCCCCCCGTGAGGACAGTGTCTCAGCGTGCAGGTGTACCAGCCAAGGACAATCCATATGACTGTCATTTGTACAGCTTGGTTCAGGGCGAATCTCCATGGATACAGACACCTGTATGTAAAGTGATCCATGGTAGGAAGCCCAGAGACAGCCAGGACGTGTCCAAAGGTGTCCAAACAGATGAATGTGAGACACCATCAAATTAGAGCAACATAATTCATCAGCTTAGCAGGCACACATGATAGGAAACAGAAGTGTGTGCTGCTGGTGGTGGTATTAAACTGTGGTCTCAACCAAATAGGTGCCCACATTATATCTCAGTATCACTTTATATCAGCCAGCTTTCTCTTTTTCCCTATAGTCCTTCCCTTTTCATTTGTTTACTAAATGTTTTCATTGTTAGGTTTGTGTACCTGACAGCAACTGTGACCCATTTAGTGGTGACCCTGATTGTGTTTTCCTCCTCTGTAGTATTCAGTGCTCAAGCCTTTTCACCCACTACTACATCTTCAGCTGCAGAGAACCAATAGGTGTTCCCTCTCTCTCCTCTCGGTTTCACTGTGTTTAATGCACAGGCTCGGTCAAATGGGAGGTTGCTAAACCTCAACCAAAATGGTTCAAGTCTCCCTCTCCCTGGTGCATCATGTCTTTATCCTATTATAATGTCAGCGACACTCACAGTCCCACCCAAACCCGATAGAGGGATCTGCTCTGGACAGTGGCAATACACACTTTGAAGTGTATTCTGAGTGTTTGACTCTCTCTCCCAGTCCAGCAGAGGGACCAGTATCAATACAGCATCACCTTCCAGCTCCACAAATGCAAAAGCTGTTGAATTGTTGTGTAATTTAGGGAAGTTCCACAGGGAGAGAACACTGAGATCCCACTGGCCAAGAGTAGAGAGAGTGAGGCCTTTGCCTTTTGAGAAAGGAGGTATGTAGGTGAGCGGAGAGTGCTGGTTTGAGGTTATTTAAACAGGAAGCCACACTGTCTTAAGGTATGTGCTGTCTGCTGAAATGTAATTGTGGCATTTCATACAACAATCAATCACTGCTACATCAGATGGGACTGACAGATAAGGATAGCTAAAGGCAGGCCTTATAGTATTTTGGACAGTAACTCACATTAGGCTATTCTTGCATTAAATACATTTTATAATTTCCCTTTAAGAGATTTGTAGAGTGTTTGAATTAAATTATTTGCATAACCAATCTACCATCCACAAAGTATTGAACTACTAAGCATCCATCAGATAATATCACTTTGAGCTCTGGTGATAATCTAAATGAAGACAGTTGTTGCTAATATCTCTATACACTAATGAACTGTTAGAGAGACTCCACACTCAACATATATTTTTGGACACCAGGCCCACAACATAATTAGTCTGAGCAAATGCAATAATACATGTCTCCCTATGAGCTCATGTGATGGCTTGATTAACTATCTAATTAATTATCTAATATTTGTATTAATGTCTCTGAAGGTGATGTCCTCATTGGCAGATCCTAAACTGCTATAAGAGTAACAGCTATTATTACAATATCATAATATCGTTATTATCAATTATGAATATCGTATTATGACTTTGTTGTGATTGATATGGTCATTACTACTAGTGTTATAATCATCCTCTCAACTAGGGTAGAGTACCCTAATCCTGAATTTGATTCCTTCTCACCATCACAGCGCACTGGGCCAAGGCCATGCTTAAAAACCCAAACAGCAGGGCTCTGTCGCCTGTGACGGCTCGTCCCGACGGTGCTTTGTTAGTATTGGGGCAAGCAGTGGGCAGGGGTGGAGGTCGTGATTTGTTCACTCAGAGGTATACAGGATATGGCAGGAGCCAGAGCGTCGTGACTCCTGCATTTTAAGTGTAATAAAGAACAACTCTAAAAGAAAACAAGTGGAAGCGAACACTTCTGCCAAACAAGGACATTGGTGGGATATATGTTCAGCATCTAAACCAGATAAACATAAAAACGTCCACTTTGAATATGGTTTCAAAATAGTAACAAAATAATGATTCGGTTACCATTTGTGCAGTTTTGTAATTAATACAAAATTTACTTTAATTTTAAATATAGGCCTGTCACACATGTTTATTATAGGCCTAGGCCACGTAGCACTTTCGACAGGCCTAGTCTACTAACAAAATCAAGCACAATAGGCTGTGTTATTACATTTTCTACTGAAATATTATTATATTCAGCACCCTCTTAAAAATACTATATCCTACTATAAGCCAAATAATCAACGAGAAAATACATTTTCACGCTGAATTCCCTATTTCTATTTTGGTGACTGTTGACTTTAGGCTATCAACTCTTTGACTCGACTCAAAAACGTTTTATCATGTTCAAGCTGGTCCTGAATATTTGCGTTTGTAATCGGTGACTCTGATTAGTCGTTTCATGTTAGATTCCCCTTAAGTGACCCTTTTAAGTGGATGGTGTTTACAAGTGGTGACGAATGCGATGGAACATAGATAAGAATCGCTGGGATAGGTTTGGGAGGAGAGAGAAGCGCTGCAGGTAAAATAACCTGAGGAAACTATTACAGCAACCAACCGTTCGACAGCGAAACACATACCGGACCACCCAATCTATTTCAAGATCAAATCAACATTTATAGCCCTACAAGTAAAATCAACATAAAGTATGTTAATTATTGTATGTGCCCTGACAGAAATCGATGCACTTCCAAAGCGTTTTGACAAAATATAGGCCGAGTTTATATCGTCAAACACGCAGGCCCGTATATTGGTATCTTAAAACGTACATAATTATGCCAAACTCTTTATGCACAGGGTAACTTTTGTAATAGAGTTATGAAACTCACCTGAGCATGACCGGGATTTGCTTTTACACTTCGGCGTAAAGCTGGATGAAGATCCACCCAGCAGGCTACCGGGGTGGAAGAGGCTGCCGCCGTACTCCTGTGGTGTTGGGAGAGAGTATGGGTAGGTCGGGATGGGGAGGTGCGTTGCGGGAGTTTGGGCACTCATCGAAGCCAGGCTGTTGCGCAGAGGACTGCAACCCTCCATTTTCATTCCGTCTGCGAGTGACACTTGGTACTTTATGGACTCCTTTTCATCCATTCTCGCTGAGGTGGAGTTTGGAGAAGTAGGGCCGGGGTCCGGGGACACGTCTTTGGGAGGCGTAGGTGGGAAACTGTAGAGATGGTGCGGGCTGGAGTGGGACACAGCGGTGAGGGAAGACACGGGAGCAGAACTGGAGCTACTACTGCAAGGGTAGCCGGAGCTAGCAGGATGCAGTCCGGGCTTGCTGAAATGGCTGACTGCCCATGCGTTATGGTGGTGGGCAGCAGAGATGGCCGCCTTCCCGCTATCCAGCCACGGAATGCCGGGGCTGTGGATGAGGTGTGGCCGGCAAACCTGACTCCCAAGGCGAGCTGGAAATAAGAAATATGCTATTATTAATTTTTACTAATCGAAAGCGATTGGTTCAGTTCTCTAACAATGCGTAAAAGTGCTGTCTATTCACCTGTTGATGCAAACTCCAAATTATTTAAACTCGACATCGAGTTATCATTTTCTCACTGTAAAAGTTAATAAAATAGCCTACAGGGCACCAACTTAAAAACCACGTCATTTTACAATCACCAGCCAAATCTAAAACAACAGTTAGGCCCCGTGCCATAGCCTATACAACATATTTACACAATTAAATGTTCACGCTTATTGCCGAAAGCATATAGGCATAACTGAGAAGAAAAAAATCCACTGGGAGAAAATGGGACCTTTGTAGAGGCCTTGATTGAACTGCTATTTGCCTATGACCATTTCCTGGTCGTCGCTCAAGTTCCAGAACTTGGAATAAAGAATGTTATTAGCAATTTGCGCTTTTTATATTATATCCGGGAAGTGCCTCTCTCTCTACTTTTCTAGAAACCCCTGCCCCAACAGAGAGGGGTTAAACGACATACTTCCCTTTCCTCTTGCTATTTATTACTAGAAATTCTCGTTTTATGATTCCATGCCGTACGCCAGACACATATAAGCCTAGGCTACACGCTTATGGACATCGATTTGTTCGAGTATTTCATTTCACATATGTGCTTACACGTTGAAGGAAAAAAATGAATAAAATGTCCTAGATTTAAAAAAAAAAAAAAGCCTATAAAGGACTGTTGCGACGACTTTTAATTGGTACGGGATCGTTTTTCTGTGCCAATGGGCTTTGCGCATCACACATAACCATTTATGGCAATAATATAGGCAAAAGCAACAGGCTGGGTTGCACACTCTCACAATTACCTAAAGGTTTAAAGCAGACTTGAATAGAACACAAATACAGTTTAGTCACAAGGATGAACGCGTCTTACCATGTGCCTGGCTGTATGTAACCCTGGCCCGGGAGTTGGCATAGTAGGGGTTCCCCTGAGAGTCCAAGTGGTTCAAAAACACGTCCACCTCGTCTGGGGGCAAAAGCGGCGCCATGGGCTCCATGTAGTTGTGGGTCAGGCTGTGGTGATGCGAGTCCAGGTGCTGCCCATTCAGCACGGCGTGGTGATGCGCCATCCACCGAGATTGATCGGCTGCGACTTCCATAACTGAGTCGTCGATCTCCTTATCCAATATATAACCAAGACGCCGTAGCCTACTTTTTCTCAAAATATAAATTATCTTTATGTGGTCCTTCTCCTGGATCAAGCACTTTTAAACAGTCCCGACGTGTGGAGAAAAGGATGGACGTAGTGATGCAGTTGTGATACGGGTTTTCTGCACACTCTCCTTAAAGTTTATTTGCTTCAGATATAGAATCCTTGATCCGTCATCGCTCTTACTGACACCTGCAATGAAACAAAACAAAATGTTCTAATTTAATACACAATGTGGTGCCAGACCCTTTTGTACAACTCCTTCGGGGATGTATGCAAAAGATAAGAGATTGTTGTTATCCATATATGTTCAGTCCTCCCAGGAACATTGATTGTATAGATAGGCTAGCCTACCACTGAAGCACTTTTACAAACAGCTTTCGTCACAAATGTAGCCTACTCATTCATATGTATAAAGAAATATATATATAGTTTCTAGCCTACTTCTATTTTTTTGCATCCAATCTTACTCCGTTGAAAAAAAAATTATTATGAATGTACCTGGTGAAAGTTTGATCTATGACTACGATCAGCTGTTCAAACACATTCTAATCTCTGAAACGCCTGATCCGTGAGGTACCCGGGGCACGCTCATTAATGAAATGTGGCTGTACTGATGCGACTGGCGCCAGTAAATTCAATATCAAGCGAGCCGGGGCGGAGTCACCGGCGAGCAGTGACCTCCTGTAAGCCAACCACAGATCAGTATAGCTACAATTGGCTCATGTATCCCAGCTCTTTCAATTTCCATTCTGCTGTCGAAACAGTAATGCCCCGGACCACAAAACTAAAAGACATATCAATCAGCGTTGTAATTTCTCGGGGGTCTTTTTCTCTCTCGTGAAGCTCACAGAATGAGCAATTGGCCTCTGATAATGTCTTCTTCTACCAACACTCAAGAGATGGACAGCCCAGATGGAGGCAAATTGTAACTATAAAATGTAAACCTACCAATTTCTATTACAGTCAACTACATTATCTTGAAAACGCAATATAGGCTGTTGTCGCTTAGCCTTGCCTATACCTCGTTTAGAGAACATATCATAATACTATAAGCTTGAATTCGAAGTGTATGCCAATGCTATTTTGAATAGGCTAATTAAATTAAACCAACCATGATTAGATTGTATAATCTACAGGCTTAGTGGGCTAATAGAAATGCTATCAGACGTCATAAAATAATTATGGTATTTTGGTTAAGCACTCTGTTGGTTATTATTCTGTATTCATTAATAAAGTGGTTGGTTTTACGCATAATGCCTTGTTTTACGCATATGCCCTGGAGAACTGCATCGGCAGGTTGGACAAACTTTACAAATATTATATATGCCAATCATGTAAATGTATCTTAGAACAACAGCAATTACAAGTGTGAATTTTCACGAGCCTGCAATGCAAATAAATACAACTTTCAGCACCTCTAGGATTAATAGGGTAGGAGGCGTTTTATGACCTCGAAAGTGGGGCCATTGTTGTGAACGCTTAATTGTCTTTAATTAGTAGTCACGACATTCTTCTTGTGAAAACACTGGTTTTGTCTCAGAGATAGAGCGATCAAACACTACTGGCATGGTAAAAGTGCCTTTTTCTCACTTGGTGGTGCAGACAGGGCGTCAGACCTCACCTGCGTAAAACCAATTGGTGACCATTAGCAACACTTTGTTAATTCTTGTTTACAATCACCTCGTGGGCTAAAACAAGTTGGCTTGCCCAACTCCGGCAGAAAGACAAGAGTGTTGCCAGTTACTTTATAACAAGTGCACCGTTATAACCAGGTAGGCTTTGTCCTATAATCACTCTATTTGCATAGTCTACCCAAATACTTATGTCTAGGTATATATGTGATTTACTTCAGTATAGATTAGAAGTCCTCATACCTTAGGTAAGCAAACGCCTATTCAATAATAGGCTACCAACTGAGCATCTGAGACTCATAATATGTAGGCTTACAAGTACAGTGGCCTTTTACTATAATGTGATGAAATACTGCAGCGTACACACTTTTGCACAGGTATTCTATGGACATGCCATGTCGGGCCTACCTGTTCCAAAGGGAAAGCATCCAGGATGAACTCGTCAGTCGAGACATACTGGCTTACCCACTATGGTAAAAATGTGGCATTTCGTATCATGCGACTTGACGTCACAGCATCACAGAAAAGGGGAAAAAACACCAGCGCATGAACTTTATAATCATTCCAAAAAAGCCTCGAGATCAGCGAGGACCAAGCTTTATTCTGACAGAAATACAGTGATGTTTTGGCTAAGCTTAACTGAAGTAATTACATGCTTCTACTCAACCTGTGAAAAAAGTGATACATGAATGCTTAACGCAATGTTAGCGCAAGGGCATTTGGACAGTTTGGGCTTTGATATGAGCATGTCTGCAGGGTATGTGTGAGGCTTGACATTCAGTAATTGGCACTGGCCAGGAGCCATGACATGATGAGCTCAGCTCTCTGTGCGTCAAATCCTAAAATAAACAAATTAGTGTATGTGGGGGTCATAACACACCCAGGGGTCTCCCTAATTATGTAATCACCCAAATACAGATTTAGCTACAGAAAATGACAGGTGTAGTAGTGAGGACATTTGTCTTAATACGTCGTTTTTTATATATAATATGCAACTGTCTGTCGATTCATTGAGCTGCTCTAATTACATAGATTTCAAACAATGTTTTCTATGGCACTTTCTGTACATATATTCCATTGAAAAAAGTGCAGGACTTCATGTCAACTGCTTAAAAATAATAATAATAATAATAAGCATTGACACAATAGATCTCTCCAAACTATGATGCATCAACTTAACAGCCATGTACCAACTCAAATGTCGAATGTAAATCAAGAAGAATGAAGATCTTGTCTTGACCAAACCCTAAATAGTGATCATAGCAGGAAAAGCCTAACATTGTACTTACAACACCTTCACCCAAATGCATTTAGTTTGTAATTCACCCCTGCTGTCTGTCTGTGTTGTTGTCTGTCCTCAGTGCTGTGCTCCTCTGTACTGCAGCCTGCTCTGTGCTGTGTGGCTGGGACTGGGTGGGTCAGGCCCAGCAAGCAACCTCTCCATTGTTGTTTTGCATGTTTGCCAAATGGATTACTCAACAGGATTTACCCCTCTGTAATTTATACCTTCATTAATCCCATTTGTATCTGTGCTGGAACAAAGGATGGGAGGATGGGTTGGAGGGGGTAAGGAGGGGGGGTCCTCTCTCAAGGACAGCATTGTCTCACAGGGGATAGTATCTAGAGCGGTAGAACCCTTGGAGGTAAGCAAGGGAAAACCTTTATTCCTAAGAAATGTTCCTTGGCTATCTTTACATAGCAAAGACAGGCGTTGTTATGAGAGACAATGTAATAGTAGCAAAACCATGTAAATTCCTAGGTTTCTTTTTCTTTTCTGCTGTAAGGTTGTATCTGTGCAGCTTCAAAGCATGCTGAAGATATACCCTACCACCATTGCTAAGGTAAGGTTGTTATTACTGATCAAGAGTATGTGTATGAGTTACAGAGACAATTCAAATAATTAACAGGTGCTGTTTTGAAATGAGCTTGCCTTTCTCAACCTGTTTCTTCCCCTTGCTCCTGGTCATCCATCATTATCCAGTGGGGTGGGGGCTGGGGTGGGGGCTGGGGGGGGGGGGGGTAGTGAGAGCCACAGACGGGTTGGTGAAGATAAGCAGAGCCGGGAGAGGAGAATGACACAAACCAGCTGAAGCATTATTGTCCTTTACTCATGGGTAATTAGATCGAGCCAGGGCACTAGGGCTATAGAGTAGACACAAGCACACAGCACCCAGCACCCAGCACCCAGCCCATCCTAGTGGAAGTGCATGGGAACCCAGAATGAGATGTGAAAGCAATGCTTTTTCACCCTCACATTAAACTACATCCATTTACTTAATTGAATAAGTTACACTGAGGTGCAGCTGAATATTGGAGAAAGTCAAACTACTATTTTCTGAGTTGGCGAATCTAGCTACTATGTTCTAAGGACACCCCATAGTATAAAGGCCCATTATTGGATGGACTTCTCTACATTTTGGCTTCATGTATCTCATTGGCAGCCTTGACATCATTTGAGAGTAGTTTATTTAGATTAGGTGTAAGTGATCATCTTGATTTATCTGAAGTTGACCACAAGACACACACACAAACACACACATAAAAAGGACGCTTAGTCCTTTTGCATGTGAGGGGACTGATAGGTGATAGGTAACCGTAAGGGGCCACATGCTGAGTTTCGAGTGAAAGTGTCATTTTTATTAGATGATCCCAGTCTCATGAGGGCAATAAATATGCCTGCTCGAGACAACAGTCCCGCCCCTGTTTCTATTCGACCGCTGAGATCATGACGTTTTTGCCCTTTCTTGTGATGAAAGGGGGTTACTGGAGTTAATGCGGTTGAAAGCACAGGTGATTAGTGGATACATCGTCATATGTCAATATAACGCTAATGTTGATCTCACACCCATGATTGGTTAGCCTAGCTGGATCTGCATAATTCCATAAGAACAACTCGAGGCCACAGTAATTTTCACATTTTAAATGATGATGAACTTTTAAATACTTTATGAACATCTAGTACAGAAAATCAGATCACATTAAGTCAGTTCATTCCAAAACGGATACTCGCAATAACCATGTAATAAATAACACTGTTAAACCAATAAGAATATAATCTGGACAAATTATAATCGATGCTCTTCTTCTGCTCATATTATACGGCAGGTATTTCTTTGGGACTCGGGAGGACTATGTTAGCTTTTCCAGATGACTTCATGTTCGAAGTATTACATTGTGTTATGTTCCTAGTCTATATAGCATAATATTTACAAAGACCAGTAGGCCTAATAACGAATACTCAAAGGTGGTAGCTATAGGCATAGTAGCCTATACAGTCTCAATGCATTTTTCAGCTATATGCAAACAGCACATAATCGCTGCATATATAGCAACATTGGATTAGATAGGCTACTGCTGTAACTGCGTAACGAATTCTTATGAATGGTAAACTATATGAGAAATACATGAGAAACTGTTTGCATAAAATACATTCCAATTGTAGCCTATTGTTGTCATTATTGTGATTGCTTATATTTCATCTTGTTCTTCCCACATTCTAACTACTCCGTGTCATTCCAAGTGCGGTGCCAGGGCTCTCTGCTGCCTATAATGTGTGCAGTCAACGATGCTTCATTATGAGGCAACTAAGTATATTGATAGGCACATTCATTATTTTTGACTGGCATAAAGCTTGGATAGCCTACTCTCACATATTGTATTTCAGTTGATGGACAACTATTATTCCAATATGCACCCCAACCAGTAACAAGATTGCAAGGAGCGTACATCCTAAATAATTCCACTTACCACAATACCCTTAGTA